TCCCAAATGTCCTTGCCCGCTCCTAAATGCTCCAAAATGATCCCAAATGCCCTTTTCTGCTCCTAAATGCTCCAAAATGCCCTTTTCTGCTCYTAAATGCTCCCAAATGCCCACRCCTGCTCCAAAACGCTGCTCCCAAATGCCCTTTTCCGCTCCTGAATGCTCCCAAATGCCCTCGCCTGCTCCAAAACGCTGCTCCCAAATGCCCTCGCCCGCTYCTGAATGCTCCAAAATGCTCCCAAATGCCCTTGCCCTCTCCAAAACGCTGCTCCCAAAAGCCCTTTTCTGCTCCTAAATGCTCCAAAATGATCCCAAATGCCCTTTTCYRCTCCTAAATGCTCCCAAATGCCCTCGCCCGCTCCAAAACRYTGCTCCCAAATGCCCTTTTCCACTCCTAAATGCTCCAAAATGCTCCCAAATGCCCTCGCCCACTCCTAAATGCTCCCAAATGCCCTTGCCCGCTCCAAAACGCTGCTCCCAAATGCCCTTTAGTCTGCTCCAAAATGCCACCCTGTGGAGCTTCAGGAAAAGCTCTGGAATAAACTGCCTCACTTCAGCAAACATCACCCTCAAAGGAAGAGGCTGATTTTGGTATCTGGTCASTGTGTGCAAGCAGCCGAGGGGAGGATGGAGGCAGGAAGGGGCCAAGCTCTTGTGGGTGGTGGCCAGGGGCAGGCCAAGGGGCAGTGGGTGCAGGTTGGAGGCCGGGCAGCTCCATGTGGCCGTGGGGAAGAACTTGTTTGGTGGGAGGGTGCCCGAGCCCTGCTTGAGGCTGCCCAGGGAGGCTGCGGAGGCTCCTGCTCTGGAGACCTTCCCAACGCGCCGGGCTGGAGCGGGTGCCCCGTGCTCCGGGTGTCCCTGCTGCACTGGGTGATCCCTAGGGATCCCTCCCAACCTCAACCATGCTGGGAATTCTATGATTCCATGAAGAGGTCATCACTAAACTTTTGAGTATTTTAAGCATTATAGTCCATATTAGGTTAAAATCGATTCAGGTCCCTAACGAGCCCTACAACCTCACTCATTTTTGTCCAGTTCTGGCCCAAAAGGAACAGTTGGGGTATCCTGTCTTAATAATGCTATCAGGATCACTGCTCAACGTGAGCTTGCTGGATATCAAAATAAGTAAAAGATCTCCTTTTGTAGCACAGTTCAGGCGTTCAAAAACAACACAATGATAATTAAGCTAAATCACTCGCGCCACTTTGCAATCCTGGCGTAAAATTTATAAACACTTAAAAATATTTCCAACTGTGAGTATAGGATGACAGAAGCCATAGGAGTATATGCAGCAGGTGTATAAACTATGGAAAATACTTTCTCTATGTGGCAAGGAGGAGGGAAAAMCGTGTGTGCTGTACTCACTGGGCATCAGGCTCATGCAGCAGGACGAAGACGGCCCATTCCCAGAGGCCCTGGCTTTCGAGCTGCGCYGCGTAGCTGGCGTTCAGCACCCCCTGGCTCTGCCTCAAGAGGTGGGTGTAGTTGAGGGCTCTGAGCACCTCCCACAAGTGCCAGCTGAGACGATAGTCCAGGGGGTCGGCGGTGACGCTCCTGGGGTCGAGCAGCTGGTTGAGGTCGTAGTGCCTGCAGAAAAGGAGAGGAAAAGTCACTAGAGAGCTAGTCGTGGCCACAGAAGGAAACCCGAAACTGCTGCCACTTGGTTCCCGTTCTTATCTCCATGCACGTGACTCGGGAAGCTAAGCTTACTAAGCAGGAAGCTAAGCTTAAAGTCCTTCTGCTTCTCTTTTGAGTTTACACCTCAGACGGTCTCGTTTCTCTCACGATGTTCCTCCTGCAGGATCCTCACGCCCTCACTGTGCAAACGCACCCTTGAGGCACAGAAATCATGCAAAAAAAACCCTCATGCTGGACAGCTTAACTTGAAGRTAACATCTATGTCTGCACCTTAAACTCAAGTCAAAATCTGTAAGGCAGCCCCAGAGCTCTGTGCCTCTCGCCAGCCTTCAGGCACGCCGGGCTGCTCCCACTCTGAACCAAACTGCCCCTGAAGATGCGTCTATTTTGCATCCCTTCCCTCGGGATCGGCAGCTTAGTGCCCAGACAGAGGCAGATTTCATAGCACTGGCTCGGCAACCCTACCTGCAAGACACTCCAGATCTGCAATGCAACAAGACAGATGGACCAAAATTTTCCCAAAATGGCCCAAATCCCACTTACCTGTCGCTGTAGAGCTTTAACAGGTGGAAACAGACATCCCTCAGCGGTCTCCCCATGTTGTCGTCTTCCTCAATTACGCAGCCAGAATCTTCCAGGTAGGGAGGCAGGGGACAGCAGGCGTATTTTTCACACTCTGGTGTGTTCTGAAGAATAATTTTAGTAGCGGGTTTAAAGACAACATCCTGAACAAAAACGAACTGCTGCTACAAAAAGCATTTAGAATCTCACTTAGGAGCATGATCTCTGCTTCTGAGGAGGGCACTTGCATTTAAAACATCCCCTGGAGCTGCACAGCAGGACGGTGCTAAAGGGATAAAACCACAAGCCCAAAGCGCTTTGGCAGGTTTATTTAATTGCACACTGAGCTCTTAAGTATCTGAGGGGAAATACAGTCGGGTTTCACATAAAGCTTGTGTTCCTGAATACTTTTGCAGCTGGGAAAAAAAAAAACAGAACAAAACACTGTGTTCAACTTTTCCTATTCACCAGGCTGCAGTAAAACCACCCAGCAATCCAGCCTAGGGGAACAGCAATGTTTTAAGTCCACATCACGATAAAACTGAAACTCAAGTATTTTCAAGTAAGGAACTCTGACACTCTACATGCCAGGAGCACACTGAAAACATTCCTGTAGAGTGTTACGTGCTCATGTATTTGAACTCCCTAGAACCACGGCTGTGCTCAAGGCTGCCTTCAGAGCCAGAGACCAAGAGCTAAGTTATTTTTGTTGCGTAAAGACTATTTTTATTTCAGGAGAAGCCCTGGCGTGYCGGTACACAGGGCTTGCCTGCAAGGCTCGTGTAACGCTCGCATCCACTCGCTGCCTGCAGGACAGCTGGAACTGTTGGAGCAATGGTAAATTAAACAGGTAGAGGGTGGGTATTACGAGAAGAGGACATTGTACAACTCAGGAAGCTGAAGATGAGTCACAAGGGGAAATACTGTGTCCCTCAGCTGCCTGGTGCTGGTTAACCCTGTCAAGCAGCTTCTGTGGTTGGTGGCCACCACGTGTCTCCCTAATTTTGGCTACTCCAAGTCCACCTGGGATTCCAGAGCAGTGAAGAGGGGCTTTCGCRCGGGCAATGCAATGGAATTCCCTACCTGGAATGCCGACTCGTACATGGCAAGCGCTTTGGAAATAGAGGCTGTTGGTGGAAGCAGGTACCACAGGTGGACGGCCACGCAACGCTTCCAGTCCAGCTGCGAGCACACGTTGACGCTTCTTCTTTCAGATAACTGCCACACCTGGAGAAAGAGTCAGGTCTGTAACCATCACACCAAGAGCAGGGGTCACCACAGAGCGACAGGAGAGCACAACACTCAACACTGATGGGTTCCATCARCGGGTGGGTGAGAGAGCAAGTCAACACCTTGGGCTTCACTGGGAACCACGCGCTGAAACTACACATTTGGCCTTGGCAACTCACTGCTTTCAGCAGAAGTCAAATAAATGACAAGAGAGCAGCAGAACGTACTGGTTTTCCTGCAAGCAGGGCGAAGATGCGCAGCCTGTCTTCCTGGATGAAGCTGTCAGCCTGCAGCCTGTGCCAGTCCACCAGCTGCATGGTGAGGAGGTCTCGACTGGGCTGGCTGCCCGCCAGCTGGGACAGGAGCAGAGCGAGCCTGTGATCACCTGCAACGGGCAACAGGAGCACATCAGGCAAAGCAAAAACTTGAAGAAGTGAGTTAACATATAAAAATAGAAACTAGTCATCAGCTCKGAAGAGATATATGAACACATGCTCTAGGTGTGCCTGCTTGAGCGGGAAGGTTGGACTAGATGATCTGTAGAGGTCTCTTCCAACCTTGAATATTCTGTGATTCTGTGATTAACAGCAGCTTATTTCAGTCAATACTCGAGGGAGGTGACATGGAAAAGGCCAGTTCCAAAGSTCTTTGAGAAGGCCTTTGCTCAAGGATACCTGAACAGAAGTGGACGGGCTGCCCCGCTGCTAATAACCACCTCACATGGGAAACCCAGCACGTGGGGCGGCTAATTATAGAGGATAGAGCCTGGCCAAAGTCTAAGAATTAGAGAGCC